GTCCCCTCGCCGCCGGCGGCCGCGTCCCCTGTCCACTCCCGTCCGAAGTGCTGCCTCACAGCTGGACGTGGAGGCGAACCATCCCGGTCCTCTCCCGGCCGCTCTGCCCTCTCTCCCGCTGGCGCCGGGCTTTTGCCTCTGTCTGGGGTGTCTGGGGGGAACACCTGGGGCGAGTTCGCGGTGCGGGCGGAGGGTCGCTCGGAGAGTGGCCCACCGGCAGGTTGCACGGTGACCCCGGTCACACTTGTTGCCCATTGCGTGGTGGGACACGCAGTGGTGCTGATGAAAGAAAGAAAAAAAAAGCTGTTTTTTTCCTGCGGTGCGGTGGTCAGTTGCGGCAGGAGCGGGCACGCGGCTGGACCGCGGTGCGTCGTGCTGGGCCAGGGGAGGGGTTCCCGAGGACGCCGGGAGCCTGCAGAAGGGTCTGCCCTGCTCCCGCCTTTCTCAAACCTGGGGGACGGAAAGCCAGAGGGTCCCCATGTTAGATCCAGAGAAAAGGCTGCCATTTATTTATTTATTTATTTCACTAATTTCTGCCCATTCTGTCTGCTAAATGTGCATTATATGTATTACTGCTAATTGAAAAATAAGACAACAGCTTAAATGAATTAAACTCCTTGAGGAAATGCATTGCCCCCCCCATACACTCTCGGGGGAAAAAAAATCTGGCCTTTTTTCCCCCCACAGCCTATGATGGCAGCATTTTAGTGGCAGCTTGGATTAGGATTTGGTAGCTTCCAGGTAGACAGTGGTGCTTTCTTTCCTGTTCTGCGGACTAGAAACCACTGAGGTGGAAAAGAGACGTGGAGAGGGGAGGACGGAAAAGCTTTCTTTAGGGAGATAACGTGAAGCTTCTGTGTGATTTTTCTGTTCTTTTTATTTTCAGAATAGCTAAGCTCTAGATTATGACTTTAATTTTTCACCCAGACTCCCTAACCAGCTTGGGCAGTGGGGCTGGCCGGTCTGCAGATGACAGTCATGTTTAGCTATTATGAACCCTGCTATTTAAAAAGTATGTCTTGTGAAAATTAAAACGGTACAAACACATGCGTAGTGCTAGTTTTGAATGAAGCTGCCTTCCTAAATGTCTCAGGTGTCTCCCATTTGTTTGTGGCTGTTTTCAGAACAGGTCAGGGTATGGGAGGCAACCCAGCTATATACCTGTGTGCAGAGCCTTAGGGCACTACGGGGATGGGCTGTAGGGGTGAGGAATCTCTCCTTAGACCCTAGCATGCTGCGTTCTCATCTGATTTCATTCCTCCAAAGAGCTGTTCTGAGCTGTGCTGGTGGCTGTTGGCTTTGTGTGGAAAGCTTTTAGGTGGCCTGTGGAAGAGGCTTTTTATGAACTCAAACTGGCAGCTTATACAGTGTTAGGCAAGAGAGTAGGGCAGCAGCCATGTGAAAATCTGCTTTGATTGTCTTATCCTCAAGTGATTTCAGGTGGACGTTGGGTATTCAGGTGCCATTCTGTGGGACTTCTTGTATATTCACCTAAAGGTGTGTTTGAGATTTAGGGTATAATTTTACCAAGCCTATATTACATGTTTTCAGCAAGTTTACTCATATCTAGCAATGACAGACTCTGCATTGATTATTCTATTTGAGTTGGAGTTTTTCCATAAGTCTTGTGTCTTCTGGCCATTCTGTTATCTTGCAGTTCTGTGTTGCCTTTGCAGTCACGTGTGCTGTAGCAAATGGCTTATTTTCCCTTTAGCAACTGGAGGGTGAGTAGGTTTTGTACTTTCTTAAAGAAGATCCATTAATGATATTTTTGACCAGCTGAGATAAATAATAAATGAAGGTAGAGTGACCTCAGAGTGTGTGGGAACGTGTAAGGGAACCCATAAATCCACTCTAATGGAACAATTAGGTCTATGTAGAACATGGAGGGTCTAAGGCGTGAATCAAAGTTTTAATTCCCTTCTTGTTTTCTTGATGCTCACCCTTGAAAGGGAAGGACTCATCTTTTCTTGACTGTACCTACCATTGTGCCACAAGGGCTAGAAAAGACATATCATTTTCAAAAATGCCAGAAAATGAATGATCATGCTTCCTAAGGTCACTTAGGAAGAGAAGCACACTCATAAAGGATTGGGCTGAATGGTTTATTTACACTGTGTTTTATCAGAAGAAATACGATTTGAGCTGTCAGGTTTGGCTCTCAAATTGTCTTATACTGCAATTATGATATGTCTTTTATTATTATAAATTTTAAAATAGAAAATGTTCTTCCGATTAATTTCTTCTGGCATAACGTCCTTGAAAATGGGAATAAACCAGAAACCTCCTTCTTCAACATTCAAAAATTTCCTTTAGTTCTACTAGCTCTTGGGCAAGCACTATGCCCTGGATGACTTGTGTGGTGATATAAATTTAGAAATTAATTAGGAAGCCCCTTGGGCATTATTTTTTTTAAGCTTCTTGGTGTGACTCCTGTTGTTTCTTTCCCCCTGGAACTCCAATAGCAGCCAAGAGCAAAAACGCAGCCCCCTTCCCTTGACCATATATAGGATTTTGTAGAGTTTCCAGTTTGAGACCCCTGGGTCAGGTTCCAGAGAGTCCAACAAGAGGACGCGTGGGACCGCGCCAGCCCTTGCTGACCCCTGGGAGAAGCAGCCCAGCCCATTTCCCTCCAGTCTCCTCCAACTTAACCCCCCTTCTCTGTTGTTGTCAGTGGCGGCACCTGACTTGCTGGATCCAAAATCTGCTGCTCAGAACTCCAAACCGAGGCTCTCATTTTCCACGAAACCCACAGTGCTTGCTTCCCGGGTGGAGAGTGACACAGCCATTAATGTTATGAAATGGAAGACGGTCTCCACGATTTTCCTGGTGGTTGTCCTCTACCTAGTCATTGGAGCCACTGTGTTCAAAGCGCTGGAGCAGCCTCAGGAGATTTCCCAGAGGACCACCATTGTGATCCAGAAGCAAACATTCATATCCCAGCACTCCTGCGTCAACTCCACCGAGCTGGACGAGCTCATCCAGGTAATGGCTCCATGGGAGTTGGGACTCCCCGTCCCCCTATAGGGACCCAGTGAGGGTATGAAGAGACAGCACTGTTCTTGGTCCCGATGGACTGGTAGGAGCCCTCTTGGCCCTGATGCTTCTTGGCATGTGCCTGATTCCCCGTTTCCTGGTCCTCTCTCTGCTCATCTCTCATCCTTTCTTACTTCTGTCACCTTATCTCCTCCACCTCCTCTTCTGCTTCTCCTTCTACTGTTCCTTCTCATCACTCTGCTGCTGCTTGTCTATATTTCTTCCCTCTTTTCTTCTTGTTTTCTTTCCCATTCTCCGTCTTAGAAAGACAGTGGTCGTGGGGTTACCCAGGCAGAGACCCTCATTGCTGGGATGCTCATTGCCACAGAGAAGTATTCCTTGGCAAATGAGGGGAAAGCAAAGAGCTTAACCTGGGCAGTGGCCAGCGCAAGACTGAAAAGATGGATTTGGGGTGTGACTCTTGAGCTGGGTGCCCCCATGATTGTCTCATCCTTAATCTAGCCAAGGCATACCACTGTTAATTGTCTCTTCTGAACTGTTTAGGTAGAAGTAATTAATTATTGTTGTCCTAAACCCCAACCAGAACAATTTACTAGTACACAGAAGATAGTTTTGTGAATAAAATCGTACTTAGTTTTAATTTACTCTAAAATAGCAGGACAGTATGGTTATGAAGTAACATTTACTCAAATTTAGTCTCCACATGATTTATAAATTTCAGCGAGGCTTCATGGAGATGGTTGTGTTTTTGTTGTAGATCTCTCTTGTATGAAACAATTCATTGGTCACACTCAAAGTCCTAGTCAAGAAGAAAGCTTTAGAATTTTTTGTTTTAAAGAAGAGAAAACATTGCAAGTGTATACCCATTTATTTCCCATGGACCTTAGCTCTTCTTACCTGGTTGAATTTAAATTGAACAGAAGTGCTTTCTGAGTCAGCATATTCTCATTTTATACTTGATTTGATGGCATTGGCATGAGTTGGAGTAGTAGATTGAGGGGAAGCATTATTATTGATCTTAATCCTATTTTAAAAATTCTTAGCCTTTCAATTTTGTCTTACTATGGTTCCCCCAAATGTTACCTCTACCTTTCATAGCTCTCTCTGTTTCTCACTTACAGTGACAGATTTTTATTGGAACTTTCTTGGGAGCTAATTGGAGATAGTACTGTCTGATCCTTCTTCAGTTCCTAACGCAGTCAGACATTTTGGCATCTCATCTGTTGAACTTACACTTTTTATTTCAGTATTTTATACTTTCTAACTTACACATGGACTTCAAATTTGAAAATGCCGTTCACATACTTACATACTGAAATCTGTGCTGCTTTTAGATAATGGTGACGTTCGCAGCATTGAGACTGAAATTGTCAACTAATATGATTGATTGCCCCTGCTCACTCCTTCTTTGATGTTGCATAAGATCATTTCACTCCCTCTGTCTTTATGCCACATAATCTCACGAGATCCTAGAACTCTGCAAAGAATCCCCGCTTGCCCTGGGTTTTAGAAGAAGAGCTCTTGTTTGTCTTGGTGGAGGCCTTGAGAAACAGTGGCAAAGCTCACATTTCAGGATACCGTAGGATTTGCTTTTTAACTCCGTTAAAGTGCTTTGCTGGAGGTGTTGTCTTAAACAGGTAATTTTCCACCTTAAGCTTTAAATGACCTATCGGGAAAGCGGAAGGGCACCAGTCAAGCAGGATTGTTGGAGTAAAGCATGGGTGTGCTCAGAAGGTGTAAGGTTTGCTTGTACCTGCTGGCTGTTAGGTGTCCCCTCCCTGACCCCTTCACTGGACTGTAGCATCTGATTCAGGTAGCTCCCCCTTAACATCTGGAATGAAGTGTTTGTTCTTGGGCAGGAAAAAAGTGGGATTTTAGGGTAGAAATAGAGGAAGCTGTATGAATTTGTAAGTGATCTCACTGTCCATTTCGACCTAGATTTCTTCTGAACTCGGAAGGTATCTTGATGGTCATGGCAGGTGGGGGCAATGGAATGTTAATACTGATCATTTTTTTACTATGTTGTTTTTGGAAGGGGCACAAACAGATCTCAAACTATCATCAATTTTTTCTTTCTGTTCTCCATGGACAATCCATTTTAAACTTTATTAATACTGCTAGTTGAGTAATTTTGTTTCTTAAATAATTTATCTTGAGCTCAATAATTTTTAGTGCAGAGTTGCCTATTATTTATTGTCCTATCACTCACCTTCATCACCAGCTAGCTCTAATTAATTTTTTTTCTCTTTGGATATGCTATCTTCTGACAGAAGAAATCTTTATAACAGCGTGACTTCAAGAATCAAGCTTGGTGTGCAGATAGGAGGAAGGCAAATGAGCCAGCAATCACTTATTAGAGTTACATTTTGTGCATGATTGTCATGAATTTCCAATTTTTTTCTCCGCCTAGCTCATTGCCCGATTTAGCTCATTGCCCCTTCCACCTCCTGAGATGGGTGTACCAGGCAGGTGTATCTCAGCATTAAGGGTCAGGAAACTGAGACTCAGAAAGTCTGAGCGATTAACCCCAGCAGTTTTGGTAGGACGAGTGCTCTGGGCTTCAGAACCTTGGGCTGACATCAGTCTGCAGAGTTTCTGCTCTTTTGGGGCTCGCCTTGTTTCAGTGCCGGGGGAGATGGAAGGAGTGGTCAGCCATGGGGTCCCAGTGTCGGTGGACAGGGAGTTCTGGCTTCTGGTCATGGGAAGTGGTCTGGGGAAGGAGGAGGAGAGCGAGTCAGTAGGCCAAGGGCAGGCGCGCCTTGTCTCACCCCAGGGCCCAGGACGCCCTTGTGCCTGGGTGACTGTAGGCCCTGGATTCCACGCTCTGGCCATGACTCGGGAGGAGAGGAGAGACAATGTGCCACTGTGGTGAGGACAGCATCTGCATCTTTTGTGCTCTGTGCTGTCTTTGACCACAATCCTCCGAGACAAGATCGAGGCCACCCGGGATGTCAAGATGGAGATTACTTTGCTGGCCTGATGTTCAACTCCCATCACGCGTAATGTGAGTGGAATGCCAGGGCAGAACGTGCATGGAAGCAGTTCCAAGACTCCTAGAAACTATAAACAGTGGCTGAACGGTCATGAGCACTTACTATGTGTGACACGTTGCTCTAGCCCTGTATGTGTTTTATATAGTCTCTTAAACAAGCCCGTGAGGCCGGCTTTTATGTTCTGCACTTAATATATGTGGGGACTGAGGCAGAGAGCGTTTTTTCCCAAGAGCACATCATGGTAGAGCTGTTATTCCAACCTAGGTGGACAGACTCTAGAGCTTCACCCTTAGCCTCCATATTTGCTTCCTCTGAAAGGCCTCCTGAAAACTCACAGTGAATTTCTCCATTACGCCACGTATTAACGTGTAATGAAGGTTAAGTTAACAGCCCTCCATACACAGCGAGGTATGGGACAAACAGCTCTTTCCTACACCCAGAGGTGAGACCTGGATTTTAGACAACAGGATGATTACCAGCGTTCTGTTTGGATGTTTTGGTCAAGTAGAGGCCCAGGTGTGTTAAAGGCGCACCTGGCCTTCAATTACATTACTTTTATGTTTGCTGAAGCAATTTTGGGATTTAAAATATAGAAAAAAAAAACTATGATCTATGCATCAGTAATAGAAAGACTTTATGGGATATTTGTTTTCTTTTTAAAACATGAACCCCACTCCCTGTGAACCGCTCTCTTTCTGGGTACAGAAATGGACATGTATAGGCAGGGCACCTGGTGGTCTTTGGTCTGGGTCTGTGGAATCTTTTGGTCGAGGAGGTCATATTTTTTTGCTCTGTTTCATCGTCTTTTGTTGTTCATTCAATGGGATTTATTGAAGACCTCCATTATATTGACCTGTTTGCTTGGTACGGGGCCAGATACAGGCAAGGAAGGAACGTGATTTCTCTAAAGGCGCAGTCAGTAAAGACGGCTGTCAGCCGTGGCACAAGCAAGCACTTGCAGTTTGGAGCTGCGAGTGCTATAGGCGGGCTCTGGAGAGGAAGCTGAGATGAAACCACTCAGGAAGACGCAGAGCAGGGGTGAAAGGGAGGCTGGACTGTCAGGGTGCTGGCCGCTGTGGACCCAGCGGGAGTAGCCAGGAGGCTGTGGTGATGTCCCTGGAGCCAGGAGGTAGAGTGGCGTCGGGAAACACGATCAGATCCAGGAGGTGCTTTGGAAGGAGAGCCGGTGGGGCTTACTGACTGACCAGATGTACGGCGTGGGGGGCGGGATCAAAGGTAACCCCCAATCTCTGTCCTTAAGTGTGCTAGGGGAAGAACGGATGTATGTGGTGCAGGGGTGGCACCAGGTCAGCCTGGTAGCTGGGGGTCCGGTGTGAGCAGCAGGGCCCTGGGCAGGTCTAACGGAGCGGACTGGGCCTCTTGTGCTGCACCAGGAGGTGCTTCGAACCGGCCTCTTCTCCCCACAACCCCTGGAGCGGGTGTGCCTGCCAGTGTGGGGTTGTATATCAGAAGACACCTAGAGCTACTGGAGTAGTTCTTGTACATAAACACGGCTTCCTGGAATGTCAGTAATGTGAGAGTTTGAGTAAGCAGCCATCGTTTTATGTCCATTTTATAGTCACTAAAAATATTTATGGAGCGCCTACCCTATAGACTGTTGTAGCATCGCAACACAGCAGAGAATGAACGATGGAGATTCTTGCCCTCCGTGAACTTGTGTTCCGCTGGGGGAAGATAGTATGTTGGCTGGTGATAAATTCATTTCAGAAAGGGTCACTAGAGAAGGTTTTCTGAGTAAGTAGCTTTCCCATAAAGAGAGGAAGGGAGCAGCTCCTGGGGAATGACACCTGGGCAGAGGGCAGAGCAGGTACAAGGGCCCCTTGCAGGGAGAGGCGGGGTGCTCTGGCAGGGGCTCGGGGATGTGAGGAGGGCACACATAGCTGCTGCAATCACCTAGAAAAGCGAGGAGTCTTGAAGCACGATGGTAGAAGGTGGAGGGAGCCGTAATCAGAGTGTGGATGTATTTTGGAAGAA